ATCAATGTTTTGTTATGATTAGAAATACAACATTACATTTAAAATAATGTAATAACATAGTTAACTATGTAAATATATATAGGAATACTATACACAATTATGATTTAAACATTGAATAGAAGATAAATGATAATAATAATAATAATTTATGATCCGTATTTGTTTTGTCATTTTTATTAAACTCCCCCTATTACATGTGTTATATATATATATATATATATAAATATATATATATATATATATATATATAGAGAGAGAGAGAGAGAGAGAGAGAAGAATTAGTTACTATGATGCCTATACTTGTCTATATGAAAATACATATAATATAGTTTGATTATAGAATGATAAGTTTTAAGTGAATTTTTTTTTTTTTTGAATTTTCAGACAAACAAGAATCAAGTGTAGATAAAGTTTCTTTTTTTTGCAAGTAAAAAAAGTGCCACTTATCCCACTTTGTATACAGATTAGTTTGGAACATTAATTTATTCTGTTTACACGTGTTATAAAATTTTTATCACTTACGAAATATCAATGTCCATCTTATCTTATGAACTTTATTTATAAATGATAAACTTGTCTGAATGGTAGTAACTGTTATATTGTGTAAATCAGATATTAACACCGTTGGATGCCGGCCAACTCACATGCGAAACTGATAGTTGCTGGGTTCGAATTTTATGGAGGGCTGGATTAAGGATGTGCACTGTTGAGGAGTCCCATACTAAAACGAAACGGCCTTTCAGTGCTTCCAGGTTAACATGGTGGTCTAGCTTCAATGGACTCAGGATTTCGATTATTGAAATTATTAAAATCTCAACAAAATCTCTTCGCATAAATCAGATATTTGTTCGAAATACTTATCAGTATAGGGTTATGGAAATTGTTGAGTATAAATTGAATCTGTGTTAGATGACCATTGAAAACATAAAAGGATTGATCGGCCATTTCGTCCTAGCATGTGACGCTTCAGCAATGCACATCCACTATCCTGTACATACCAATCGAACCTATGACTTTTAGTTTTGCGCGTGAACACTTAAACTCTAGACCACTGAACCGTTATCCAACAGTGTTAATGTCTAACTTTAACCAATGCACGATATCGCACGACCGTCCACCATTATGTTCGGTGATTAACTGCTTCCAAAAAGAAACCGTTGAATTCCATTAGTCATGGTTTCTCACTAGAACTCTAGGAAATTGGTCGTCCCAAGTTCGAGTCCCATATACGAGATCGTGGACTTGCACTGCTGAGGAGTCGCATACTAGGACGAAAAGACCTCTCAGTTCTACTAGGTTTTCAGTGGTGGTCTAACATTGATTCATTCACGATATCAATTTAAAATACTCGTGAAATATTTATGTGAAATAGACAAAAGATTATAGGTATGATCATATGGTCAGATTTTAAGCTAGAGTTTATTATAAATTGACTTTTAACTGGTGAATACACAGGTGAAAATTAGAGCTTATGGAAACAATCGTCTAGTTTGAAACTTTATAATAGTTTCTATCCTTCATTACATACCAGATATATATATATATATATATATATATATATATATATATATATATATATATATATATATAGAGAGAGAGAGAGAGAGAGAGAACAATCTTAGACACTGTTAGATAAAAATACATTTCAATGTCACCTAGTGTTCGTATGATTAATCAAAATGAAGTCAATGTTATTATAAAATCTATTTCACAATTTAACTAAACTTTTGGAAGTTTAAACAAAATAATTTTCAGTATATGATTCTGGAAATTGTTGAATTTTATTGAGATCATAATAGTCTAACATTGTTCAGTTTATAATCTAAATGGATCATTTGTATTCTATCTATGTTTTTACATATTGATTAAATGTTGCACATACAAATGTATATTTTAAATAATTAAAGAATTTCAATGGATGACATCATGAGTCAATTGAATCTAAACCACCATAGAAACGGCCGCCCAGTGTTTACAGGTTTTCCATGATGGTCTAGCTTCAATGAACCTATGATCTCAACCATTAAATTTACTATAATATCCACAAAAACCCTTCTGATATGAATGAGAGAATTATTTGAACATTCTATTTTATGACTGTCATTGACATTTATGATTAAACTGTGTAATTCAAACCTTGGGCAACATGATTCGTGATTATAGATTTAATATCTTAGTTAATCATTGAATACAAAACACTAGATAATGTGATTGAATTATTTCTATGCATTATTTAAATGCTATAGTAACTAACAGTGAAATTCATGATGATTATTTTATCTTATTTAAACTTGTCAATTGGATATACTTATATCCCAGTGTTAATGTTCGTAATGACATTCAGACTCAAATCTTATCACTTTAAATGCCCAGCGTATTATCTGATCACCTGCTGAACCAGAAACTGATTGATTCCAATTCGTAAAATCAATAATGGGAAAAATACAAACTTTTGCAAATGTAATATCGGTGAGACCATAATTTATGGATAACCTTTGAGCGACTCTAGACTGACCTTGAGTGTGTCCTCCTAATAACTATGTCCAAATGAGGGTTATAAATTAGTATGAGAAATTCGGATAATGATTTACAGTTGATAGTTAAGGTTAGGAATTAGATTTAGCGTTTTCATCATGAACTGACATCAGTTATAATGTCATAACTCTGTTTAGCCAAATGGATAAGTAAGACTTGTTATCTTATACCTAATTTGTTGGTCCATAAATTATAGTCTCGTCGTAATAGCATATAATTGAAAATTAATAAGAAAGAACTGTTTTGTAAATAAACGAGCAATCAATTCTTTTCGAAGCCACATTCAGTGAATACAAGTACTACTAAAAAGTATGAATAGTAAAGTATTAACACTTGACCTAACATGTAGGCTTGATTCAGTAAGACAGAATGTAGAAAATAGGAAGAAATATATATGAACAAACGTTTAATAAGATCATCTAGATTTCTTTATAGTCCAACATTAAAATATCAGAGAAGGGTTTTTTGTAGATATTATATTAATTTAATAGTTAAATTCATGAGTCAGTTGAAGCTAGATCACAATGGAAAATCTGGAAGCACTTGACGGTTGTTTCGTCCTACTGTGAGACTCCTCAGTAGTGCTCAAGAGGTATTTCCTGGAGTTCTAGTGAGAAGCAGTGACCAGTGGAGTTCGACTGGGTCTGTTGTGAGATACTAACTCACAGTGATGGACGGTGGCGTAACTTCGTGGACTGGTTGGATTTAGTCATTAACACCGTTGCGTGCCGGACGCCTCAGTAGTCTAGTGGTTAAGCGTTCGCGCGAGACTGATATGCCCTGGACTCGAGTCCCGCGGGGCGGGATCGTGGATGCGCACTACTGAGGAGTCTGACAATAGGGCGAAACGCAATCCAGTTTTTTCAGGTTTTCCATGGTGGTTTAACTTCAATTGACTCATGAATTCAACTATTAAACTAAAATATCACTTGACCTGTATTAGACAAAGACTAGATCAGGATAGTCAATTTATTCTTAAATGTAAAATCCCAGAGTGTTTTTATAAAATACAATAACCTAACATTAAATACATTAGTTGCATGTTTTCCCCGACTAAATAAAATATGCCCTACATTTACATACTACTGAATATTTCACTTACATAAATTTTCATTTAAAAAACTATTTCTTATCGCTAACATTTTGTTTTGTTTCTTTTATATTCAGTCGAATGTTTCCATCATTCAAAGTACGTGTTACAGGATTAGATAGAAATGCAAAATATATTATGTTATTAGATATTGTATCACGTGATGAACATCGATATAAATTTCAAAATGGTAAATGGACAATTGCAGGTAAAGCTGATCCAGAACCATGTCGTAAACCATACATTCATCCAGATTCTCCAACAACCGGTGAAGAATGGATGCATAAACCAATTTCATTTCATAAATTAAAATTAACTAATAATGTAGCTGAAAGACAATCTTTTGTAAGTTATGGTTATTTTATTATTATTATTATTATTATTATTATGATTATTATTATTATTATTATTATTATTGGCTTCTGTAATCACAACTAGTGCTATTCCTGGGTCTGCTTTGTGTGAGACTATAATTTATGTACAACTTATAAGCGACAGTAAAGTGACCTTAAAAATGATCACCTACTTACTAGGGTTAAATGAGAATTCTAAACCTGTGTGAAGAATTACGATTATGATTTATAGTTAATGGTTAGGGTTAGGAATTCGATTTAGGGTCTTCATCACGAACTGATATAAGCTAAAATGCCAAATGGATGAATGAATTTCGTACCAAAAATCAAAGAATTGTTATCTTATATCTAATTAATTATTCCAAAAACTATAGTCTCGCCCCCGAAGACTTATTTTGTTAAGTATTTGTGTAGTGAACGTAAATTTGGGTGGGGAAAACTAACCTATTTATTAATTTATAATTACAGAGTGATTTCATAAAACAATGACAACCACAAATTCAATAAAATATTTACACAACTTCCTTCAGTTGTTCTTTACATGCTTCATGATTCTTTCAATTCTGTTCTTATTACAATTGTACTCTGTTTACATTCTTGTTCTCTTCCATTGAATCTTCTCAATCAATCTTCTGGTAGGCATCAATGTTACATACTACTTATATCTGTCAACCTAAGTAGCATACACCACATATGATTTCCAAGAACAAAGTTATAATTATATTTTAGATGGTAGCTAACAGTGTTCATATCTTGCATTTCAACTTATTTAGAACTATTCAGCTATATTTCCCTGCATTTGAGTACTAAGATTAGCACTGTGATATGATTCCATTATTTGCTATTTAAATCTGATTTTTCCCTTATATTTCTTTAAGTTGTAGAGTTGAAGCGTTTGAGTGTTTTAAAATTTACATATATTAATGTATGGATTTGTGATAACTGTTAAATTTTATACATAGTATTACGCATTAACTCTAGTTAGGCGACCATTGAAAAACAGGAAGTAATGAAGAAGTGTTACTTTTTAGCATGTGACTCCAAAGCAGTACATCTCCGCGAGTTAAACTGGGGATAGTATTCAAAATACTCGGGTTTCTTAATTTTTAGACCACTGAGCTTATATTTAGTTTCGGAAAGGTGAATTTTAAAAAGATCTCTGATGTATTCAAGATGATCTTGAAATGTCAAGCTTGAATTACGGAAACAGGGAGAGAGAGTGAGTGAGTGAAACCGACAAATTGAATAAGTGGTTGGACGTGTTCTTTTTTCTAGATTTTGCTCATATCACAAACAGCATTAGTAACTAATTATGACTGACTTTTCCCTACAATCAATATGTTCATATGTCTGTTATTTGATCTTCAACCACGTCACTTAATTATAATTTCAAAGTAAAGCGACACTTTCATTAAATATTAATTATAAACTGATAAAGACTTACCTTTCGCACTAAACTAATAACTTAGAAACCAGATGTTCAAGTGTTCTTCTAATTTTAAATGTTTCAATGTACGACATGCAATCTAATGTCTTTTAACAAACTGATTAAAATGAAAACTTACATCATGAGAAACTAGGAGTTTCACCCTAGTCTGGGACTCCTTAGCAATGCCTATTCACGATTTCGCATTCATTAGTCGAATCCAGGACCTTCAATCTCTCATGTAAACGTTCAACCTCTAGACCGCTAAGTTGGCATCCAATGATTTACATGTCTAACTTCATACATAGATTAATCTGTTGATCTCACAAAAGAAATGAAATATATGAAAATATTTTCTAAATAATGGAGAAATATTGATATATTGTTTTAAATTTTATAATATTTCAGCAAGCTGTACTCAATTCAATGCATAAATATATACCAAGATTTCATATTGTTCGCGCAGATCATCTAAATAAAATGAATATGTCCAATTTTGTTACATTTATCTTCGATGAAACTGAATTCATTGCTGTAACCGCCTACCAGAATGAAAGAGTAAGTCTAATTATTTAAGTGTTTTCTCGTAGTTAAGTGTTATTGACAGTTGGTCAAACTGAGACTTGGAATGTTCAATTGATAAGCAGTAACTAATGTTATATATGTCTAATTCTTAATAATATTTAAATTCTATCAATCGTATTGCAATGCAGCCACTAGTCTAATTGATTTAATATTGAGTTTATCATATTTTAATGTTTGGTAATTGAAAGAAACTAATGGAAAAAAAAACTTTTTTAATTTAAGTTTGATGATAATTAGGACTTGAAATATCTAATGCTTTCAGTGGTATTTAAACTTACACTAACCAGTTGTATATTTACAAACATTATCACTAAACTATTCAATTCTAAACTGATCATCTACTCCCTGTAATGACCGAAATCTCTTGTCTCTTTGTTCAGTATAACATAGTTACAATCGAATTTTAATGTTTTTTTTTTCATATGATAACTCTCTCTGAGTTTAATGATTTAATCGTGACACTTTCATCGTCCTTCTGAATAACATTATCATCAGCATAAACTTCAGGTAGAAATGAGTTATTCAAATTCTTATACCGGAAAAGATCCAGTTTATTGATGAATTAGTAAAATTAAATACAAATATTAGATCAATAATCAAGTTAACGAGAGAGGGGGAGGGAAAGATAATCTGAAGATAATAACAGGATATTAGTTAACAATAATTAATCAAGATTAAGGTCTATCGTTTATTCAGTCAATCATAATTGATAAAATAGAAATTTCTCATTTTAATCGAAGGTTTACGCTGATTATCTAGAAGAATAATGAAAGTTTCATGATTAAATCATCTAACTGAATGAATAGTAACAATCATGAACAGACAAAAATATACAGTATCGTTCAACAAAAACTCAACATCAAATGTTACAATAATAAGAAATAAATCCATTGAAAATGTAAACATTTTTAAAACATTTACTTTTACTGTACACGTACACCTACAAGTACACGTACACACACACACACACATACTCATACACGCATACACGTGCTCATGTATACACTAGTCACCACTAATACACACATGTGTCTACTGACATATCGTTCATAGTGCGATGCATTCGTTCACTTCAAATAACCCGTATTTTAGATGATCATATGATAATAATAATAATAATAATTATTATTATTATCTATTCCAGTTACCATTTTTCTGGTTTTTTTTAAAACAAAAAAGAAAAAAATTTTTTTCGTAAACACGTGTTTGTTGAATATTTATTATGAATAGTTTTTCTTTCTTTTTGTTTTGTTTTGTTTTTGAAAGTTGATCTTAACACCTAAAACACACGCCCACACATCACATCACATCACATCACATTAGCGCCCACATATAAATAGATGAATAAGTAAATAAATATTTACAATTGAAAATCCGTGTTTCATAAATAACTTAAGATAATTTTTTAAGTAAATAAATATGCAGACAGGAAAATTCTTATCAGAATAAATAAATAAATATTTCTTTGTTCAAGTTTTTTTTTCTATTTTTCTTTTTTCTGTTTTTCTCTCTTTTTTTCTTTTTCTTCATAAAGTTCATTCACTTTTAATTATTTTGACAATTTTTTTTGTTTGTTTGAACAGAACACCTTCATTTTGATAATTTGATGTTGTTGTTGTTTTTATGTAAGAATCTAAAGTGAAATGGTTGGACTACTCTTTTCTTCTTTTCTTTTTCCGAAAAAAACAATAAAATAACCTGCCGACAAGTGAAAATCAGTATCAAAATCTAAGTTAATACAATGGGATTTGTCGTAATATTTGATCATATTTTTCAAAAAAAATACATGGTAAACAATTAGATCTATTAATTACGAAAAAAATATAATATTGATTATAATTGAGATCATAAACCGAGTGATGTTGGACCATCATTGAAAACCTGGATGCACTAGACGGCTGTTTCGCCCTGTTGTCAGACTCAGTACTGCGCATCCATGATCCCGCCCGCGGGATTCGAACTCAGAGCCCTCAGTCTTGAGCGCAAACTCTTAACCTACTGGACTACTGAGACGGCATCCAATGATGTTAGTGTCTATCCTTAATCAATCCACCAAATTACGCAACCATCTTCCATTGTACTGAGGTAGATACTTGTCTCTACCCAACACGGATTAGCTCCACTGATCACGGTTTCTCACTAGAATTCCGAGAATTCCCTCACGAAGCTAGTCACTAGTGAGCACATGGTAATTATCAGTAAATATATAAGTAGTAGTAAAAAATAACCAAGTAATTAAGTGAAAAGTATTAGAATCTTTTAGAGATCATCAGTTCGTTTAAGATTACAGGTATACCACACTGACAAATATGAACTAGCATGATAAACACGGTTTTCTTTTGATTATTTCCAACTACCTAACATCGTAATGTAATACATGCAACGTTAAGTCATTTAGACTTATGGTCATAGTATAAATTGAATAATAATATTTGATTATCATTGAAGGACTAGATTGACATAACATTGGTTATAGTAGTAACATCTTTAATGTGATGAGAGATGACTAGGGCTATAATTCTTCACAGGCTATCAATTAGTTCTTGCAAAAGTGTTGATAAGTATTAATTAGCATGAAACCATGATTAAAATTGGTTCTTCCTATTGAATATTAAGTTCATAAGTTGAATAAGGGAGAAATCTTACATGTCTTTAAATTCTTTGAAAATAACATTTGGGATAATTTAGTATTGTGGCAATCAAATACCAAATTGTTTTCTTACAAAGTAGTGAGAGGTATCAATTTGTCCTTTTAGTTTTCTCCCATGAGATCATATATATATATGTATACATTAGAGAGTGATATTTAATTTTAAGAAATTAAAATAAGTTGGATTAGTTTGAGGCTATTAGAAAGTTAAATCCTTCCTTAATTATAAAATTGTACACTTTCAAAATGTATATTTGAACACTATCCATAATGGCTACTGAAAAGTGAATTTAAATGAACCATTAGCTCAATTGTTGAACACCCTGATCAATTCTGATCATTTGAATACACCAGAATTCTAATTCAAACTAACGTACAAACTAAGATAACCTAGTTCAAAAGGAAATCGAATAAGAAACTTATGCATAATGGAAGATTTGTTGACTAATTGATTTAAACCTGATCTTTGTGTTTAGAATTAATATATCCAATCACTTAATTAACTATAGTTCTAATAATATACCTTCATTTTCTGTCAGTTATCTTTTGACACGTGTTTGTTTCCTTCTTTTTCATCTACCTATAATCATCAAGCGTAGACAATTATCTTTCACATCTCTATTCTATATCTTGTTTTAATTCATATTCATCTTTAGTTTTTTTCTTTATAACTGTTTGATGGTCAGTCTTTTAAAACACTTTTCTGTATATTAGTGTGATCATATTACTGTTCAACCATTACGTAACTTTAAGTTCTGATTGACTATTAGATCCTCTGTTATTGATGCGTTTAGCGTTTTTTTAGCAAGTTAGTTTTCTACGGGATGGGGTCGCTAACCCCATGCCCAACTCTCCTCCTTTATCTGGGCTTGGGACCGGCAGTAGCCCCCCCGAAAGGGATTCCAGGCGGAGTTTGTTATTGATGCAATCATTCTTTATTTTTAATTAAAGCGATTAAATGTAAAAACAAACCCATAAATACTACTGAACAACTCTAGTAATGTGGTGAAGAAAATCTTCTTCACTAAAATGTTTTTGTCTTTGTTTTAAAAACAGTCTATCAATTAAGAATGTTGTTTGTAAAATCTATAGTAAGCTTTCTTTTATTGATGATCAAGTGTATTTCATAACAAAATTCCATTAATCGGATTCATTACATTATCAAGATAACCTATTTCAAACTTCTGAAACATCTATTTTTTGACGGTATAGGTATTATAATACATTTTTATGTTTCATATTCATTTAAACTAGTGTCATGTGGAGACAGTTATCCAACTCACTACTTATGCTGACATAAGTAGTATACACCACACTATTATTTTCATTATTAAGTTTATATATGCATTTTATTGATCTATTTTCTGTTTTCTTTTAGATCACTCAATTAAAAATTGATAATAATCCATTTGCTAAGGGATTTCGAGACAATGGTAGTGGGCGTCGTGAAAAGAAGTAAGTCAACCCTTTATTTTATTAAGTCTATATTTATTATTAATTTTGGTTTTGATTCAATAAGCACTTATGATGTGTTGTATTAACATTTATATGCAAACGAATGACTAAGTTCAAGAAGTATTATAAGCAAAGATAGATGGTGGTAACAATAGAATTCAGGACACGGGTTTCATCCTATTTGGGACTAGTCATCTGGATATATCCGTGCCCTATTGCACAAGTTAGTGGCTATCTGGACTCAGTAGCTCAGTGGATAATGTAATGACGCCTGAAGCGATTGGTACTGATTTCTAGTCTCGGAGTGAACATCAATTGTGGGATGCAAGTACATTCAATTGACAAGTCCCAAACAGGGTGGAACAGACGTTCTGGACCACTGATCCAATGGTGTTAATGTTTAACCTCAACCAATTGTTATTGTTAGTAGTATTGTTAATATTAGTAGTATTATTAATTAAACAAAGCCAAAAACGATACAACTTGAAAAGTACAATAAAAGAATTGTATTGTATTATATTATTTGCATATATATATTTATATGTAGTTTAATAAATACAATTCATTTAAAATTTTAATTAAACATTAACACTAATTTAATAATTAAGAAATGAATTATTTATATTTTTTCATTATGAATTGATTATTGTTAGTTAACTATTAAAAACCTGATAACAGTGAACAGATATCTTATACAAGTATAGAACTTTTAAGGAGTAGATATCATTGAACTTATTCCAAACTTTCGATCTCATCATGAGTGCTAAGGTATCATCTAACTAAGATCAGCCTTTAGTATAGGAGTTGTAGAGATTATTAAGTTTTTGATTGAGATCATGAATCGATTAATGTTAGATCACCATTGGAAACCTGGAAGTATTGGACGGCTGTTTCGTCCTATTTTGGGACTCTTCAGTAGTGCGCATCCACGATCTTGCCAGTCAGTAATTTAAATCGTGAAAATTCATTAATCTCCCTTAAATACCTTAGCACAATCGAGAGTGGAGAGAGTCAGCAATCCACCTCAAAATGCTCTCATAAGGCCATACATATATAGCCACTGTCAAAGAAGTCATACTCACTGCCTTCTCGTGGTATTACTGTTGTTTACGAAAATTGAGAGAGTGAAAATCGAATGTCCGGCTCCTTAGTTGGGTTGATGGATACAGGGGAACCAACTAAGGGAGTTGAAAAATCCTGATTACAAACCAATGATGTACATGGGCTTCAGGATCCTGGAGGAATGAATTGTGTATGAACTTATTGTTGGTCGCCGGCTACCATAGAACTGCATCTCCTATCGTTGCTCCACTGCCATGTGGATTAGACCTTTAGATCAAAGGCTCTGGGAGTGGTCCTCTAGGAAAACCATTTGCTTCTCTTTGGAAACCCGGTCAGTATTTCAGCCCTCAAACAAACTGGATGGCGAATCGTGACGCATATGTATTTGATGCCTTCTTGTACCAATATTTATGTGTTTAAATATATTTAAATCCTCACAATGCCTATTAGACCAAAAAGAATTATGTACTGACTAGTGACCAACTTCAAAATGAAATTCTCAAAGTTCTAGCGAGTAACAGTGACTGGTGGAGTTCAACCATGTAGGGTGTGAAACAGTTATTCATTGCAATCAAATAGAAGATGTTCACGCAATATCACGAATTGATTGAATTTAGAAATACATACCATTAAATACTGTTTCAATGGTCTAAAGTTTAGACATTCGGTATTTATTTTTATTTATTTATTTGAACGATACAAGGGGGCATCAGATACATATGCACTACACAAATCAAATGAGATTTGTGTGAGGGCTGTGATACTGTCTGGGTGCCCAGACCGAAGCAGTGCGCAAGACCGAAGGTACTGTGTTCGAATCATTGTACATCATCAATGCAGATTGATAAAACTCTCCATACTCAGATAAAATAGCAGTCCAGTACTTCTTGATTTTCAAGAATTATCAAACTAACAGTTCATGATGTAAACTATGAAAATTCAAAAATCTCTACAAGCCTCTTTTATTAAGAATAAATTATTCTCAAAACTACCATTTTAATTCTATTTATATTACAATTTTATGGATGTATCACATTTACTAAACACTAGTCATTGTATTCGGCATTGAGCTGTAATGCTTGCTTAACCATTAATTCTACAACGTGGTTATTAAAATGTAAGTAATTAAATTGGATTCTGGACCTAATTGAACCGAATCTACCAATTAATAACTTAATACTCGTAATTCTTAAATAATTTCTCCCCTCCTGTTGTATGACTTTTATTATAGATAATTTTTACGATAAATATCTGATATCAATTCTGTTTTTTTTTGTGAGGGGGGCGGAGGTGGAGGTATAACACGATTTACACCCGAGATTGTTAGACAATTATTTCATGTGATTATGAGAATCCTCAATTATAAACATGCGATTTGTTTGAAGGGATTTTATGAAAATTTGTAATTATAGTTACTATGCTAAACTGTTCACAGTTCGAGTACCATGAAAAATACAAAAAAAATTTTTAGATAGCTGTTTCAAAAGATAATTTCCTAGCATGTCAGCTGAAAAGTATAAAGTACAAATTGGTTATTTTTCTTTTTTGACTAGAAACTTATTTACGATGACCTTGAATTATTTTTAAAAGTAATCAATTCATAAAATGAACTCAGCAGTGTGCATCCACGAACCCACCTCGCGAGATTCGAACCCAGGACTTATCGGCCTCGTGCGCGAACTCTTAACCTCTAAACCACTGAATTGGCCGGCATCCAATGGTTTTAATGTTTAATTTCAACCAGTTTATGAAATTGAGCCAACATCGATCGTTGGATCGTGAATGTGCGCTGTTGAGACGTTCCATACTAGAACGAAACGGCCATTCAGTGCTTCCGGGTTTTCTATGGTGGTATAGCTCCAATGGACTCATGAATTCAACCCTATAATTACTAAAATCTCCTCAAAACCCTTTTCTGATGTTTCATGATTGCTTTATTAAAGTTGCAAAGTTAATCTATTTCTACTTTTCAAAAATCCTTATGATTTGATAACAATATCGAAGCATTTCATACAGAATGAATACATAACAAAAATGCTACCGACCAATTTCAGTCCTTAACAACAACAACAAGGAGAAAATGTGAAAAAACCCCTTACGAATCAATTGAAAATAAGTCTTGTTGCATAATCCTGTGATTGCCTGAACTCAATAGCTCGGTAGATGCCTATTGAGTGAACTCGGTAGACTGATATGTCCTGGGTTCGAATCTCACGATTTGGGATCATGAGTGCGCACTACTGGGGAGTTTAGTACTAGGACGAGACGGTTGTCCAGTGCTTCCAGGTTTTCCATGGTGATCTAGCTTCAATTGACTCATAATTAGTCTTTGTTTGGATATGGGGATCTTCAGCGAAATGTCTTGATATTGTTGTTTAAACACAAATTTTTAGTAAAATTTAATAAGGACGAGAAAAGGAGTTCAAGATGAATATTTCATCCTATTTACAATGCTAAACTGTATTTCATAACATTAACAACGAGAATATACCAATCCTTACAGATAATTTGGTGTTTGTTGTTAACATTACATTGTATATATCAATAAATATTTCTAATCAATCACTGTTTCCTTTATCTTTACAGAGGTTTACGATTACGATACAAACAGTCAATAAATTCTACTAATACTTATAATGATCTAGATGGTATTGAAAGGGATATGTTGAAAAAACGTTCAACTGATTTATACGGAGCACATGAAAGTATTAAATTTTCATTTCCAAATTCAATAAATCATCCAGCATGTACAAATCGATTATCATTATTACATAATAATAATAATAATAATAATAATCATGGATTAGATATAAAATGTTCATCTTCCCATTGTTCTTCAATTTCTACTCCTATTTGTAATACATCATCATCGATCATATCATCACCAAATCAATTATTTTGTGGATTATCTAACTCTTTATCTTATACTTCATCAGATCAATTCTCATCATATTCAATCAATAATTTACATAACTGTAGTAATAATAATCATTTAGGTAATAATAATAATAATAAATCAGTTGATTCTTTATCACCATTATCATCATTATCATTTTGTAATTTATCAGTTGATAAATTATCTACTACAAAAGATCTATCATCTCCATCTTTGTCATTACCCTATCCACTCTGGTCAGGTAAGTGTTATTAATGTCTTAGAGTAGTTACATTCATTTTTTTTAATATCTGAGGTTAATTGAATTCTGTTTGGTGATAATTAATAATAAAATCTAAGTGAATAATTTGATCCTTTTTATAAGTTTCATCAATGATATATCCATACATTTCAAAAAGTGTTAGATATTTGGAGACTTAACCTAAATTCCGTGCTTGCTGCACTTGCCTACGAGGTATACCTACAATCTTGATGGAACTGACGTTCACTATATTACTGCCATTCATGTCATCTAGATTCAAACTCTAATAAGTTACCATGCAATTAGCCGAGCCATGATTCATTTTTTGTAGGACTGTTTATGTTTATCTAGTCCTTAATAATGATAATAATAATTAAAAAAAAAATAATAGTCGAATTCCGTCAACGAGACTGCAGTGTGACCGCCAGTCTAACTAATCAGACTAGAATTATGTTCCGGATTTTCTGTAGACTATCTCGAATCCGCTAACATCTAAGCATAGGGAATGCGACATCGAGTGACTTGACATAGTAAATAGGTGATTTTCTTCAAGTTTACTTTCCCCTCACTAAAAGGTCATCCATAAATCGTGGTCTCATCAGGGATAGAAACCCGAACATTTAGGCTTCATGAACAGCTCATAAACCTTGTATTACTAAGTAGGAGTTGTAGATTCTCACTGATGAGTAGCTTTGTATTAGGATGAAACAGATCTCTAATGCTTCCCTTTTTCCAATAGTTATCTAAATGATTAGTCCATGATCAGAACCATAAAAATTAAACACCTCTGTTTTAATTCATTTTGTATCAATACTCATCAAGGATATTTTTATATTTATCCAATTGTTAATACATCTACCATTACACACTACTAATAATACTATCTATTAAAAGAAACTTAATTCATTCTTAAACGTTTCATTTCAACAGGATGTCTTGATCCAACATCATTGAATTCAACGTTGATATCAACAAATTTACCACGAAGTCAACATACAGTACATTACTGTCCAAAGATATCAAAATCATCATCATCGTCATCTTCGTCATCGTCCTCATCATCATCAATGGAATATTCTTTCAATAAAATACAAAATAATCATTCTATGGAATTTCAACGTCAACATCAAAGACAACAACAATTTATGGATAAAACTGACAGATTGCACAATATAAATGAAATGTCATCTGCAACAAATAATTCCTTTACTTTACCATCTTCAACAGTAACAGTAATATCATTGTCATCAAAGCCAACATCATCAATAACATCAAGGTTATCATCTCCGTTAGTTGGAACAACATCAGTAATCATTGATACCACCAACACCACGACGACGATGGTGACGATGACAACATCAACAGTAAAATCAAGTCAATCATTACCGTATTCAACACTAACCACATCTGTTCTCGATAGAATATCTGGATTAACTGGAGGAACAGGAGAGGGAATAACGGAATTACAACTCTTCTCAGATAATTTAAAACGTAAATATGATGAAATAAATAAATGTTGTCAAGAAGATTGTAATTCCTTACAGAATCATAAAGATTTAAATTCATCCAAATTATGCTGTTCTGTAAGTTTATTTTAAAATGAATCAAGTCTATAAGTTTAAAGTTCATATCCTAGACTGGAGGTCTTAGGTTCGATTCCTACGTTTTGAGTCGTGGATGCTCACCTCTGAAGAGTCCCATACTAGGACGAAATGGCCATCTAGTGCTTCTAGGTTTTCAATGGTAGTCTAACAGTGATTCATTCATGATATCAATCTAAAGTAATTGGGATAACGTTGAACTTTTACTTTATAGAAATTATTATTAAAACTGAATTGTACATTGAAAGTATATCGTAGAAGTAACTTCATTTAGATAATGTTTTTTGAGACAAAAAGTTTTCACTTTCAATATAGCCACATTTATAAACATTTCTAAAGAGAGAACTGAAAACAAACATTTTATCTGAAAGAGCTAATTCTACAATGTACTCTCAATGTCCAATTCAGATTTACTAATTATTTCTATAGATAAACTGATAGAGTTGCAATAAGTTCACTACTGAGTCACCTCTTAGATGATTGTTCTATGGTTAATATGGAAAATACAGAACTTTTGCTGATTATTAGGTGATATCTATTAATAGTTCGATATTGTTCACTTTAATTGATTACATTGTTTAGATTTATTAGTTACATATTGTAGATACATTTTAAATGTGTTACCAAGTTAAATCTTATAGTGATTTTCATTAGTATATGAAATCACTTGGAGAAACAGTAAAAAAAATTAAGTAACACAGGGTAATTATACAACTGTCATTAGAGCCTGTTTACTATTCTTCACTGTTGACCCTAGATGGTTAAGAACTTTCATAACTCGAAACATAACAAAATTTGCATAAACCATTCATTTCGAATTCATTCACTATGAACTATAGCATTACTTACTTACATACGCCTGTTACTCCTCATAGAGGAGTATAGGCCGCCTATCAGCACTCTCCATCAATCCCTGTCTTGGGTAATCCTTTCCAGCTCTTCCCAGTTGTTATTCATCCTTTTCATATTTGCTTATATTTCCCGACGTAATGGGTTCCTTAGCTTTCCTCTTTTCCGCTTTTATTCAGGATTCCAACTCTAACCAGATAAATTAGTTCAAAATATAGCATTATCTATCTTTAAAATATAAATCTTGATGGAATAATTCAATAGGATTAACAGAAACTCATCAATAACTTCAGATGAAAATTACATCTGAATCATAAATTGAAACTTTGATCTATTGTGTTCATACTCAGTGATCATTGTGAGGTGTGAATTTCTTACGTTCAATCTCTAAATTGTTTGTGGACGTATGAATTAAACGTCAAAGTAAATAACATTTGATGTTTTTTCTTTGAAGTCGTCTGTCAAGAGACTCTGTCTTTCACGTGAGATTCAAATCCGTATGATAGTACTACATCGATTACTACTAAATAAGTGAGTAATTACTATAAAAATCACAGTGTTGCATGAGGTTATTAGCCTTCTGAATAACAATTCATTGATAGTATCTCTGATAAGATGATGATGATGATGATGAATAAAATAATCGTGAATCGGATCAACGAAGTAAGTTTTTCAACTTTACACAAATATACCTATCTGAAGAATGTCAAAATACAAATTTCTATTAATTGCCTTCGATTAACTAAGTAAATAAGTATTATGAATAGATCACTGTTAGACCACCATTGAAAACCTATAAACATTAGACGGTCGTTTCGTCCTAGTATGAGACTTTTCAGCAGTGCGCATCCAAGATCCCATACACAAGACACAAACCTAGGACCTTTAATGTCACGCGTGAACACTTCACCTGTAAATCACTGAGCTGGTGTTCAATTGTGTTAGTATCTAACTTCAATCGATTCATGATCTTGCACAATCCTTCATCCTTTATTTGAGGTAGATAACTATCTCACATCCAACACAGATTGGACTCCAATGGTCATAACTTCTCAAATACCATGTGAGGAATCGTAACTACACACTGTTTAAGAGTTCCATATTAGGATGAAGAGGCTGTCCAGTGTTTTTTTTAGGTTTTTAATAATGGTCTAACTTACATAGACTTATGTTGTGATGATGGAGAAGATTTGTATCTCAGGTGAATGATTCTGATAGAATTTTGTTCTCTAAGCTAGATGGTTTGTTCATGGAGCTTTCATCATTCTTCTGATAATATTTGATTGTTTTTCTTTTAATTTCTAGCCTATAAAAAAACAATATATTCCAAAAACTATTTCAATAAATAATGAATCTAAATATTTTAATGAAAATGAATATTCTAATAATACTATAAACTCTAATCGAATTATAACAAATGAACAATTATATTGTACTGGAATAAAATATGAAAATGAATTAAATCATTCATTATGTTGTAATTGTTCTAATTCATTAACAACATTATCACATACGAATATGATCAGTTCATCAATAACTACATCAACATCATTAACATATATGAATTCATCTAAACGTAGTTTTAATATAAGTTGTTTATTAGAATAATTCCCCCCCCCAAAAAAAGGGATACTCAGTTGATGAATATCCCCCCTTTTTTTTCTGAAAAAATTTTTATGCAAAGAATGTAAAGTAATCAAATTGCATTTTATCTTATATTTTAATATCCTACTTATTGATATTGTATAACGGAAACTCTAGAATAACAGTAGTCACAATACTAATAGTAATTATAATAACGTATGATATATATATATATATATTGTTTGGGAAAATAATATGATTCTGTATTGTATATAGTGTATATAGAATGATAAATATAAATAGATATGTGAACCATTCATTTCATAATCACATCAATTAACTAAACAAAGACACCTTTATGTGTGAGTTTTTCTTCGATCATAATGTTGCCAGGCATTATTAGCCGATACGAAAATATATACATATAATGAGGACCTAATTGAATGTATATACAAAAAAAAACACTTTCTATCGAAGCATTACACTTGTTATAAATAGTTTCAAAGAGATTGACAACAGTGGCAAAAAATAACTTAATTTCTTAACTTACAGTAACGATGTGTTTTTTTTAAAAAATTCTTTTCAACTGTATTTTTTTTCAAAAAAACAACTATGTTTCACTGTTTTAATTTTTTTTCTCCATTATTGAGATCATCCATATTCTCCCCCCTTCTTCCCCTCTCTCCCCTCTCTCTCGCACTCTCTCACATACACAACACAATCAATCATATATGTATGCACCTTATGTAATATGACTTTTGTTTATATATAAGAATGGCTGTTGACTAATGAAAGTATGATGATTTAAAACTAATTTTGTTTTGCATAAAATCTATATTCATTTAATATTATGGTAATTTGTTTCCTCTAGTCTACAGATATATTTATATGATAAAACTTTGAGTACATATAATGTAACTAACCATTTGTTTCATATGTTTCTTTTCTCTCTCTTTATTTTAACACATTTTTATTGCATAATACTTATGTCTAAATATTGTAATAGTAATAATAATACTAATAATCATAATATGAATATGAGTCTAGTGATTACATCCTAAACATATAATTCCACCTAGAAATTGTATTCATAAAGCAAATAAAAACAAAAAATTTTTTTCTTCTGTTTTTTTTGTTTTTGTTTTTACAAACTTTGATGGTCAAAAAAAAAACAAAATAAATGTAAGTTTAAAAAAAACCCACAACCAACAACAGGGAATGTGAATGATATTCATTCCTTCTTCTTTTGTTTTTTTTTCTCTTGGAGTTTTTTTCTCTTTTATTCATTTCTTTTGCTGTAAATCTTCTCTTGTACAATTTTGTTTGTTTGTTTGTTCGTTCGTTTATAATAGGTGAATAAATGAAAATAATAGTGGATATATTAAAACATAATAATAAGTCATTATTATCCTTTATTATTATTATTATTATTATTATTATTATTACTGTTATCACTATGTTAAAATTCAATAGTGAAATATTTATTCAAATGAATTCATTATTATGAAATAATAAATAAATAATCTGATTATAAATGTGTGTTGTTTTAATTTATGTATAAAAATAACTGATATGAGAAATGGAATAGTTTACAATTGATTATTCACTAGATGGTGATCAATGTTATGTGTATTATGTCCTTCTTAGTGCAGATTGAATCCTATCGATTAAGTTGTAATATGACCACTAGTCTAGGTGATTTCGATATTATATGCACTATGTTGGGATGAGATGGTACAGCCAATGGTGGAGAGAGTTAGTTCTCTCTCTTTACCTCTCTCTCTCTCTCGAAATGCTCTCACATGACCATGCGTATACAACCGCTACTAGGGAAGTATTATTCATTGCCTTCTCGCGGCATTACTGTTGTTTACGAAGTTCAGAGGATGAGAAGTAAATGTCTGGGGCTTTAATAAGGCTGGTGAATATGGAGAATCCACCTATAGAAGTTGGAAAACCCTGATTTCAAATCAATGGTGCACATGGGCTGGCTCCAGAATCATGAGGGAATAAATGGCGTATGAACCAATCGTTGGGCACCGTATACCATGGGACAACATCTTCCGACGTTGCTACACTCCCTTGTGTGATACCTTAAGAAAACCACCTGCTTTGGTCTTGGCACCCGAGTAGCATCCCAGCCCACATATAAATCAAGTGACTTGTTTGGCGCATTTGTATTCGGTGCCTCTTTGTACCAATATTTATGTGTTCAAATAAATAATTAAATAACTTTGGCTGGAGGTAGTCGATAGGAAACCCTGGACCTATGTTTCCTGTTCTTTTGGTATTCATCAACACGGTGTATCTGATACACATGAAACTGATCACCACCCAGTGACATTCTTGATATGTCTTGTCGATTGAACGCTACTTGTTATATCTGGTTGTCGCTGATTGTTGTGTCAGAAACGCTTATCACTTATATATACTGGAAACAAGGGATCTCTACAATTTCCATGACGAGAAAGTAAGAACACAATGACTGGAATAAGCGAAGATTTATTAATCCCCAAAAACGACGACGATGACTCTTGTCAAAAATACACTCTTATATATACTGATTCGTATACCCATTTTTTGATTAATAATTAGGATGAAATCACATATAGGAAAAATACTCAGAGTTATAACAAATCACCTACTGAGCATATTTCGTGTCCATTGAACACAAGAATAACGTATAACATACAGAATAAAATATCATACGGGAAAACAAAACCGAATACTACACTGAATAATCATCACACTGAATCAAAACGGTAGTAATCTTAAATAAAAATCATAATGAGTAAATCAACCGAATTTCGATTTTTATTCCCGTCATATCACCTTCCCTTCTTCTTTTTGGAGTCTCAAATTTTAGATCCTGACTTTATCCTCCACCACGAAAAAATGTTGGGACGTCATATTCCCAAGTTACAGTTGGTGTGACTCTATTTAAAACATATTTCCCTCAGTGAATAGAGTCCATTAGAACTGACTAGATGGTAAGGATCAACGACACTTAATATGAGGTCATTAAGGTTTGATTCTTCTGAAACATTTTCATTGAATTTCTTGAAAATCTCATTGCTAGATGGTGGATCACCAGGATAATCAGCATCTACCAAAACTTCATTAGGTTCTTGATCATTATTTGATATATCCGATATATATATTTCTCATTTTTGCAAGAAATTTGATCGAAAACATGTGAGCCATTAAGATAACCCATATCTGGTAAAACAACTAGAGAACCCTGATAAGTAGATTCATCGGAACTTTCGGCGCAGAAAGATGGGCCTGCCTCGATATTACCTTAAATCGCAAGCTTTATAAGCGCGTCCTGGATTCCATAGCTAACCACTATATATATTTGCCAATAAAGCTAGTGACAAAATCTAGGCAATCTCTACAGAATGCACATATGCAAACAAGAGACTGATCAATCGCAATCATAAACAACAATAAAAAAATACAAGAAAACAATACTTGTATATATTTACGTAACGATTTCAGTATATAAAGACTGGATAAAACTAAGAATCGGATTGAAATTGAAAATTGAAATTGAACAATAATTAGCGACCAAAAGCCATCACATATCCTCAATTATATCAATGCATGTGGACAACTGTGAACAAATATTCAACTGGAAAAATATTGAAATCTCACATAGAGACAATTCTAAAAACACCAACGAATTTTTAGAAACTTGGAACTCAGATCAATCATCAATCAACAAACCTATTGAAATCAATCCAATCTATCAAACAATCAGAAAAATTATGGACAAATAGAGGAGCAAAAATCAATTCAATGGGAGATACATACAAAATAAGAGAATATACAATGACACGTTAAAGACCAACAATCACAAATCAACATCCAGGTCGACTGGACAACCCGTGAGCTATATGTGCAGAAATTCAAACACTTCACTTATACCTGAAGTTTGTGTTGATGATCATGTCATTCAGAATAACGATAAATGCTCCACAATCAAACCATCCAACTCACAAAACAAAACCCCATCAAAATCAGCCACCTGAAATACAAATATTCTCCATCATCTCAAAATCACTACTTCATTCATGAACAATGTCATCATGACAATCGACTGATGAATTAACTAAATTCTACAACAAACAAATGATCCACATATCCAGCATGTTCAATCACTATCAAGTCGATGTTTATTTCTGAATGCTATCGACTGTCATATTAAGCACAAATCGTCATAACAAAATCACCACAACTCATTTCTCAACACAAATGGTCGTCTAATGAAAAATCACTTGGTCTAAACATGAATTAACAAACATAATAATCTCTATCTCAGTAGCATTCTTACACACCATCTAATTGATTGAGATTCATACAAACATTATCAGATATCACCATATTTTTCTCACAAATATTTGGACGAAATGTTACGTTCACATAACTGTGAAGATATTAATCTCATCAACAAACTTTTCATTATTCTGATTATTTCTCTCTCTCTCTCTCACACACACATGCACACACACTGTATCTTTCTCTTGGATTCATCAACTACCTGATACATATGGTTGTCAAAAGTGAAACAACGCGGTCAGTAGGTTATACATAAACAGAGACTTTTGTCACCAACACACAGTGTTGAATTTTCATGCTAATTGTTGTGAAGTCAAATGATAACATTAATGATGTCGACTATAATAGTTTGATTTACTGAAGGATAATATGGCGACGAAACCCGAAACCTGGCCTCCTCATGGAGTTGCTGGTTAGTAGGTGGAATCTTGCTAGCACACTTTGGATTGTTGTTGTTGATGATCGGACTAATCTCGCACTCAACTGTAAACCGGATTACTTATATTCTTCAACATTGAGATTCTCATATCTTGCGGGTTGGTCGATGTCTATGCATATGTATATGAATTGCATGAGTGTTATTTTGTGTAGCTGTGTATGTAGTTATATCCAAAGAGTATGCGTCAATCGATAAGATTAATAATGATGTCTAAAATTATTTTGGTTCACTGTAGGATAATGTGGAAATAACACTTAAGTGCATGAAATAATGTTTAACTATATACTTGTATAACTCTTCTGTCGATCAGATCCATGCTGTATAAGTTGATAACAAAAATTAACTTTGGTCTGCAACCAGTTATAATTAGTTAATTATTAACGACTGATTTTACTGAGTCAGTTTACAAAAAAGAAATAAAATACTGTTAAATGTCACCTGTAGATTATATAGACAAACCAAATATCTGAATTGAACGTGGTATAATTATTAATTGAAGAGTAACTATTTCCAGTCAATTACAAAGACCTACACAAACAATTTCATTAACAATTGGGCAAAACAGTCTGTTGAGTAATCTTTTAATTAGCGATCCTTGTACTACTGTGACACATTGCTTGTTTACTGCATCTATTACACTGTTTATCAGTTGCATGGAAGTTGTAGAGGTTTAATAAATGGAATTTAGTATGACCAAGTATAGTTTAAATGTACCTGTATCCTAACGCTATTAAAAATTATATTATTCAACAAGACAATTGGGGAAAAAACATTATGGTTTTAATCATTAACTTAAAAGTTCAAAAACCATATTCCGTTGCCTACAGTTTGAATTAACCTTCATAAGGAATAGTAGAACTAACTATCAAATTCTTAGACACATTGTATGCATATGAGTCAATTTATCATTGAGTATACCTAATTTATTCATCATATCAATTTTCATGTATCAAAACATCTCACCAACTAAAATTTAGCTGCAAAATAATAATTCAAAGTATTGATAATATTCAACTGTTTACTATCCATACAATTTCGATTGTAATAATGTAAACTTAACAACTACGTAATATCAGAATGGGTTTTGTGGATATTATAGTAATTTCAATGGTTGAGATCATGAGTCAGTCCCACAATAGGATGGAACGGCCTTCCAGTGCTTCCAGGTTTTCAATGATGGTCTAGCTTTAACTGACTCATGATCTCAACCATTGAAACTACGTAATACATAACAAACTGTAACAATCTATAAAAGACGTAATGACGGTGTATATTACTTACTTAGGTATTGTTACTAATAAACAAGCATCAGACAGTTACATTGTCCGAGTTTGAAACACTTTATCATTATCCAGACTTGATTGTTTGAATTATGGAATTACCCAATTAAGGATATCCTATTGATCGTAAATTGCAAATTCACTTACCTGGTAATATAGTGAACGTGAACACAAGTGGGTGACAATCAAATGTATTTGAACACAAAATTACAGAATTTCTTAATAAAATCTGAGTAGATAATTTATTTTCAAAATATCAATCAATAGTCTCAGACTTCATTGTTCATTCGTTTCCACACTAGTCATTCTGTGTTTTCATTCTCTTTTCTTTGATCTTCTTAACCTTCTGCTTCGAGGTATTTCACTTTCTATTGATGATACATACTACTTGTATTTATCAACCACAGTAGCACAGTAATACCATATAATAGAAATCAATAATATGTATTCGTCAAATATTAATTATATGCTGATTAGCTATGAAAGTTCCCGGCTTAGTACTTTATTAAAGCCTTAGATTTATAACAAAGTTCTAAATTAGGATAAAATAATTAAACGATTTTAATTGAGTAACAACTGATTATCAATGTATGATTATAAAAATTCAATAATA